TATAGATATATATATATATTTATATATAGTTTATAGTGCCCTACAAAGGTTTAAAGTCTAACAAGGTTCAACATTTAAAATATGAAGACAGAATATAAAGTAATTTTTTTGGCTGCAGTGATAGGGTAGTGCTATACAACAAGAAGCCGCTAGAGGGCGCCATAAATGTTGGGGATTCTTTTTTTCTGATGACGTAATTTGAAACCGGAATCAAAATAAAGCGGAATCCGGTCCAGCTTGAAGATGGCAGCCACCGGTGCCGGTTCGCCCAGCCGCCTGGTCCAGTACGTGGTGGTCCGCTCGGATCTGGTCCACCAGTTATCGTGGCCGCTGGGGGCGGTGATCACCCAGGCCTGCCACGCCGCTACCGCCGCGATCCACCTCCACTACGGCGACCCGGACACCCAGCGGTACCTGGAGGAGCTGGACTCCATGCACAAAGTGGTTCTGGGGGTGAGAGTTTGATCACTGTGGATGAATAAAAGGCGCTGATGAGAATAAAAAGCTGATGTTTGTTTCTGCTCCGCAGGCTCCGGATCAGGCCGCTCTGTCCGGACTCTCAGACACTCTGACTCAGGCTGGAGTTTCACACAAACTCTGGATCGAGCAACCGGAAAACATCCCCACCTGCCTGGCCCTGAAGCCTTACCCCAAAGAGACTGTACAACCGCTAATGAAAAAGTTTAAATTGTTCAAATGAGTTCGCAGAAAAAAATGATTTAATATGTCCACTTGGTGGCGCCAAAAACAAGCTACAGGTGTTTACCCAATTCACTGTTTACACGATTAATTCCTTGTAAAATGCAGTTTGTCTCAATAAAAAAATGGTCAAACTGTCAGTTAGACTTTGTGTGATCAGAACTTTCGACATGTTTTTTGTGTTCCTTAAACTATTATAAAAATATTAAAATCAGTTGCTTGTTTTGCAGAAAACAGGAGGTTAACATCACAGCAGTATTTTAGATTTAACTCTGTGGAGACTTTTGTTTTTGAGGATTATTACATAATATTTGATTGTAAATCCCCCCCTAGTCATAGGGGCTATAAAGAATAAAAATGTCACAATCTGGCTCAATGGCAGAGGAAAGAGACAAAACATTGACTGTTACATTTATAGGAAAATGAAAATAATTTATTTAACTGGCCGGATCAGTTTGGCTGATTAAGTCCATCAAGTCCTCCCAAAACAAATGACAAGCTGAAATGAAAAATGCTCAAACTAATGTTTGAAAAGCTAAATGGTATTGCTGTTATTTCAAAGGTTAAGGTGTGCCTCTAACAGATGTATTTCTAGAAACTGAGAGTTTCATTCTATGAAAGAAATCTCAGACTCAGATTGGATAGAAACATCACCCTTCAAAGGCTTTTCAGATATTCTCACTTGAACTTGGGTCTGGACTTTGACTAGACCATTTAAGTCAAACATTTTTTAATCCAAACCGTTCATTGAAGCTGTGGTGGTGTAATCCTGCTGCACCACCTGTCATTGCTCCGGTTTCCTTCCTGGATCTGGCCTGATGCTTCCGCCAAGTTAAGGCCTGCAGCTCCTCCAGAGCGACCATGGGCCTCTGGGCTGCTTCAGATTAACGCTTCTCTGCTTGTTCTGTAAGGTCAGAGGTCATCAGTATTATTTAATCTAACTGAACAACAGTTGTTTAGAAACACAACAGCTGTATGAGCTTTCATAAACTATTTTTAATAATATTTGCTTAGATTTATAGGATCATATTTTCAGGTCTGGCTTTAAGATGACGAAAAGATAAAACTTTTACATGAAAGGGACCTAATGCATTTTCTTTAATAGATCTTAACATTTTAACACGATTTGTAACCAAGGGAACAAAATGTTTCTTTCACTAAAAGATTATGAAATCATTCTTTGCTAAATTTATTAAGAGCTGAGGGGGGTGAGCTCTGTGGGCTTTTCAAAGCTTTGGACATTGTTTTATAACCTCACCCTACTTTAAACTTCTCCACTACCTTCTGGATTTAATAATGTATCCTTTTGGTTTATTATAGGTTATAATACTAATGATAGAATCTAATGCGAGCTGCACATTTTAGATTTTTATTTATAAAAGCCTTTAATTATGATTCCTCCTTCCAGTTAACAGCGACTCACTGTTTCATGTTACATGATCACATAATTCCCACCAAATGCATCAAAGTCTGTGGTTTAAATGGGAGGAAAATAATTTTAGGCCATATCAATATTTTTTGCATGACACCGCAAATGTTTTTAAATCCATCCTGTTTCAGGTAGAAAATGAGATTTAGAATAAGAGAAACATTTAATTTCACATCATGTAAAGCTACAGTGATGGACCTGAAATGATTTATTCTTATTTTTACCCCAGAAAGATGCAAAGAAAAACACCAAAAAATGAAAAGTTCCTCATAAAAGGTTTGATTTGGACGAAGGTGTCGACTTTATTCAGTTGGTTCAACATGAGATCTGTGATTTCTACCTCGGTTGGATGCCGTGTGTTGCTACTTTAGGATTATTTGATCAGAAAAATCCGGATTTTTCAGCAAACATTCTTTCTCCTCGGACTCAGTGTTATGATTAATTTAAAGATTTTAGCAGCTGCTCATCCTCAAATGTTTAAATCTCTCTAAGAGGATATCCATGACCTGGTTTTTCCAACCTAACATCTGAACCAGCAGTCGGGCCATGAACCATAGGTGCTGATGCCTCCTCCATGAACACCCATCATTTTTATGTCTTGTTAGAAGAAATCAGAAGAAGTTAATCTTTTAAACAAATATTCCTCAACTCTTTAGAAGTTTCTGTTTTGCTGTGGGATAAACCAGAGGCCTGTTTGAAAAAGCAGGATTATCTAAACCTAAAATCGAGAAAACTCTTGATTTTTCCCTTCCACAAAGACAGTTTACCATCACCTCTGTGTCTGTTGCCATAGTAACATTATCCTCAGAGATAACCTGATCAGTTGCAGGTTTTGTTCTGTAAACTTAATGCCCTCTGTCTAAACTCTCCTAAAAGCCAATCACGTTGTTTTATTTTCTGATTTAATCAGCAGAGTTCTCTTGTAGTTTTATCTTTTAAATGAGGATCAAATTAAAGAATGAGCAACATTAATCAACGGAGAATTAAATAAGCTATTTTTAGGGATGTCCTTTTATATTTAGAAAGTCATCTTTATGAGCTCTGCTGTTTAACCTCACAATCCTACAGAGCCAAGATCTGACATGTGTGGAAAATGCATACATATAATAACTTGAGCACGAAATACTAATTAGTTCTCTTGGAAAAACTAATCTATGATCAAACTTCTCATGATTTACTTATTTTTGCATAAAATATGGTGCGCATAAAATTCTAAAACATAATCCTCCTACAGCGCATCCTCTGTGGAAACGAATGACATCTAGACATGGATAATCTGATAGAGTTGTATTTTAGGATCAACTAAAGAGATTCTAATCTGTCTTTGCAGGGATTTCTTATTATTGAGGCATTTAAATACAATATTGATCGCCAGGTTTGACTGATGTGTGCAGAAATGTGCTTTACAATGTGTGGAAAATTTCACCTTTTGGCTTAAGGTCCAATTGAAGGAGGAAAGGATGAAAATATAGATGAAGGCAGAGGAGGAAGAGAGGAGGAAGGACCTTCTCTTTTAGAGGGGGCTGCTTTGAAAT